CCCCTCTTTTCCCTATTAGGGCGCTAGATTGCTTGTAACGACTAGTGAAGCAAAAATCTCGCTTTTGATTTATTGTAGATATCCAAATTTCTTCAAGAGATTTACGAAATACGAAATGGCAGTGGTCATCTAGAGATCTCGGCAGAATCCAAACATGTGCAAATTTGTCTTCCATTTTATCGGCCTTAGACTGACTACGATGGTGAAATTGTAACTTACTTACCATTGGGATTGAAACAGAAAGGGCTTCACGATGACAATGGAAGTTTCTGAATGTCGTTAACGTCATTTCTACTCAATTTAAGGTGGCTGCACTGCTATCGAGACTTTCTCGAAAGAAAAGCCTGAAAATGGTGCAGTATAGCATTACAAAACGGAGAGGGTTGGAAATTCATCACTGTCCAACTGTAACGTTTTAGGCAGTAAGACCGTGAAACATGTTTTTATTGCTGCAAACGTGCCCGCAGATACGTCAAAAACCGCCTTATCGTTGTACTTTCAACGAATTGAAGAGACTCTGGCGTCTCACTAGCAACATTTGGTGACAATCGAAATACACAAGCACCCATCCATACACACCTTCTCTTCGGCGTTCGGCATTATGGGGTAGCAATTCGAGTTCTGGCATTAGCTTTTTTTTCTGCACATCTGGCCACACACATACATATCTGGCTAGGGCGGGACTATCGTCCGTCGCGGTTACGCTGTATCCCATTATAAAAGCACTGCGATGATAAGCTCGAAGCGTTGCGGCAACGTCGACGACTACCTATACGATGGACGGCGACAAATGCACTAAGGCAGTGGCGGCCGAACACGAGAGTCTAAAACGATTCGCTTTCGTCGGAGTCGCTGTCTCTACAATCGCTACTTTGACCGCGATCATTGCTGTCCCTATGCTCTGTATGCATATGCACACAATCCAGTCTGGCATTCAGGAAGAGCTCTCCTATTGTCGAACGAGAAACGCTAGAATGCGCGGCGAGTATTCTAAGGTTTGTTTCTTATGTCTTTTATCGTTCATGATGATCACAAGTTCATGTTCACAGCGCTGTATGAAATTCGCTTTGATTTGGACTGATTGGTTAATACGTGTGATTTACATTGTGTTTCCCATTTCGTGATGAACTAACGTTATTTTGCAGTCTCAGAAAGCACTTTTAATTATT